TCCATAGGTCTGTTCACAAGTCAACAGAGAATCCACCGTTTTCCTCTCCGTGAATCTAAATCCCAAAGCCCGAAGGATACGGCCACTTGAAACCCTTTGACTTAGGACAAGTGTTGGAATGGGAGCTTCCTGAACCTTGTCTGGACTCAGAGAGTATGAGGCACAACTACACTTCATGCCTCCTGCCCCTGGAGTCATGCCTGCAAAATACCAGGGTGTACAGAGTAGTCTGCTCCCCAGATCACACCCAGAGAACTGTTGCTGAGTCATGCTCCTATCAGAAGTATAGAACTAACAGGGGCCATAGGGGCATAAAAACAGCCACACTATCCAGGAAACCAGAAACATAATAATGAAGCAAGCTAACCACCTTCATACCTCCTTCTCTCTTCTTTATTTCTTTCCTCTAACACTGGTCTAGAATTCATTGTGCAATGCAGATTGACTTCGCACTTGAGATCCTCCTGCCTGGGATAACAGGTGCGCTCCACCAGACAACATTTACTAGCTAATTTTTTTCTGTGTACTGACTATGTTCCGGATGTACCGCTGGGCCCTTGCCATGCATTATCAACTTAACCCTTCCTGTCCCTTCATGATGGTGATACTATCCTGATCCCCGCTTTTTAGAGGAGGAGCCAAGAGACTCAGGTATTAAATAACTTACCTGAGCTCAACCTAGTGGGTGCTAAAATCCAAACCCAGACCTAAAACCTTCTGCCAACCAGCATTATTTTTCACCACATAGTGACATCACAGGTAGCATATTCCAAATTTCTATTTTAATGTCCTAAGCACTCACTCTAAGAAAATAATATTAGGTATGCAAGGACCATGCATAGACTGGACCTTGCTTGGCTCTCTACAGAGACATAGCCAATGGGCAGCGCAGGCTTCAAGTGGGTCTCCTAGTAAGGGGAGCAGGGGCTGTCTCTGATAAGGACTTGCTTTTTGATCATGTCTCTCTGTGGGGCTCCTTTGCCTCGCCATAGAGGAGGAGAACTCACTCAATCTTGATGCGAGTTGATGAGCTGCAGTGGGTTGTTGGGGGGGGCTCCCCTTGTCTGAGGAACAGGGGAGGGGGGATTGGGGAAGAGGGAGGGAGGGTAGTATCAGGAAGAGAGGAGGGAGGGGGCTATGATCTGGACGTAAAGTGAATAAATAAATAATAAATAACAATAAATAAACAATTCCGAGAACAATAAAAAAAGAATATTAGGTATGTGGGGTTTATTTGGTTGCTTTTTTTTTTGCATGTTAGTTTTGAGTGCCCATAAATTCAGAACTACTGAGTGTTGTATCCTGGGTCAACTATTCTTTTCACGAGAGACCTGCATGGCAATCGGTGCTGAGAAACAGAGATTCAGGGCAGACTTGGAATCTATACCCATAAACCATCTCCTTGTATCACGCACCAGCTACATTGCCATGAACTTTTCTGAGCCAATCATTGGACTAATAAACGAATTTGAGGACCACTCCCCATCCTTGTTCAACCGGCAGCTCTGTATAGGTAGGTACTAGAATAGAGGAGAGGTAAGTGCTAGAGTGAGGGAGAAGGCGGGATCTGGATGAGGGGAGAAGGAGGGTACTAGAGAGAGGAAAGGGTGTACGAGGCTTTTTCCTGAAATGCCCTCCCAGAAAATGACATGAAGGTGGAGGTCTATGAGCACAGCAGGGCAGGAGTAACTGAAGAATGGCTTGCTCTGTGGGAGCAAGGAGTGAGAGCAAACAGGAGGCCTAGGGCCACCTGCGGGAGGACTGAGGGGCCTCTGAGGAGGGAGTGGAAGGGAGGAGAGCCAGCTGTGGCAGGAAGGGAAGGCGGGAACTGTGAGAGCCTGAGGTTCAGCTCTGTCCAGGCAGAGAGAGGGCAGCCCCGCTGTGTTTCTCGGGCTGCTCCGTGGATGTAGGCAAGAAGGTTGACTGTATTACGTTGGCCCTACGTCCTGAGCCTCGTTCTCTCTGAAGCTGCTGCATTGGCTACAAAAGGGCGAGACACAGAGACATCGTCTCTGCTAACAGGAAACTGGTTCCGGTAGCTGAGAAGCCAAGTGTGACAAAAGCCTGGATACAGTGTTCCACACCGTTGTCTGCCTTTTCCAGGTAAGCAAGTGTTTATGGGAAAGCCAGAAGTAAAGAGTAAGGGCCTAGGTAGCGGAGAAGACGGGAGGTGGCCAGGGCTGCAGCAAGCTGGCAGAAGTGCAGGGAGAGGAGCAGGGCCTCATGCAGGAGCAGGAATGACCCCCAGGCCAGGCTTCTGAAGAGGGTCTGTGTGTGCAGTGGAAGAACTGGGGCCTGCACTAGGTCCAAGGCTGGCTGATAGGTATGGATGAAGTTCACGAGGCTGTGCTCTCGAGGCCCCAGAACCAGAACATCTGGAGAGCAGAAGTTCCAACAGCGCCGTCTTTTCAGAGTTCCTCTTCCTGACCAGGTACGTTTGAGTAGACTTTGCCAGATAACCATGCTCAGAGCTCCTGATATCCTCCTAGACTTCCCTCTGCAGAGCAAACGTCTGTGATGCTAGGGAAGGGAGGTCGGTTGACTATATGACTGGGGATGTAGCTTACCAGAAAAGGGATTCCCTGTCTGGAAAGGCAATCTTCCCTGATGCTCCTGAGAAAGGCAAGCTAGCAAAAGCCTGTGTGATGCCCTGAGGAGGCTTGCCTGTGGCCCAGAGGAAGGCAACAAGACACCAGCTATGGAGAACAGGGTACATATGGTTGGCAAGTGGATAGGTGAGTGTTCCACAGAACAGACCAAGAGGAATCTGCTCAGCATGCTGTCATAGAGGAAGGAAGAGGCCTTTGTATCATTTTCATACAAACTCAGCATCCCTTTGTTCCCCAGTTGGGGGCCTCCAGCCCTGAACCAGCATGCCAGTCACCTGGATTTTGCTAGCAATGTGTCTTTTCTACGTGCTACGCATGTACACAGTTGCTCTCCAAGATATGCAATGCTGGAAATATTCCAGACTTGGTTCCTGGTCAAAGTATATACCAGCGGCACACTGACATGTTATGAGGTCAGTGAATCAAGAGGAATTATCCTCTCTACCCCCACCCTGGGCTTCAGTTCACAAAGACAAACCCAGGTAGGTCTACAATATGTCTTCTCTTAATCCACAGCTTCAGTATGCAAAAGAAGTGAGGCTTTTTCCCCACTCCACACACACACACACACACACACACACACACACACACACGCACACACGCACACACGCATACACACACAGTCACTGGGCAGTAAGCAGGCAGGAGTGCAGAGAGGAGAGTCAGGAAGACAGGTACAGGACATACCAAGTACAAAGACAGCGCCTCTCATCCCTGCTGAGGTGGGGGTGGAAAGTGGTGCAGGCACTAAGGGACTTTGGTGACAGTTACTGTTCAGTGACTAATATTTCTGGCCACCTCAGCAACAGTCTATGCAGCATGCATCCGACTCTCAGTCAGCCCTGGCCTGTTTCTCCTGCAGAGGGCAATCTGGGTCAGTGAGCACAGGGAGAGGAGTCCAGCCTTGGGCCAGCACAGCCAAGGTTCCTTGGCCCAGCAAACACAAGGGGCTTTGATGCCTGCAGAGAGCAGCAGCTCTTCCCCCTGGTTTGCTGTGGCTGCTCTTGGCAAGCCTTGCTCTAGAGGCCATAGCTAAGAGGTAGTATTGCTCAGAGTTCAACATACAGCAGTGGGATTGGAGAAAAGGCCCAGAGCTGGTGTTTGTGAGCTGTGTAGCCTTGGGCAGGCAGAAAAACCTCATTAGGTTTCAGGGTCCTGTCTATAAGGTAGAAGGACAGATACAGTAACAGCAGCCTCTTTTTGGAAGGTTTCTGGAAGCAATAAGAGAAAATGTGTCTGGAAAACAGTCAGCATAGAGCACGTGTCCAGGAAAAACGAGCAAGTCGGTACTCAATGTATCTGGCATCCTCAGGATGTTCCCTAAATCTAAAGCAAGCTCACCCTTACTGGCCAGTGACTCATTGCCATCCTCACCCCCAAGGCCATCAGTAATTCCCCCCATCGGAAGCCATTCACTTACACATATGTTCCTTATTAGCCGACACTCAGCTGGCTTTGTCTGTGTCTTCAAGCTAACGCAAAATTAAGTTGAAAACAAAACTCAGATGGCTTCTACATCTCATACCTTGGTGTCCAAACCTTAAGTCTATGCTTGTCAAATTGGGGAACATGTACCCTTGTGGGCATGTGGGGTATGCTAGGCATGTGATGCTGTGGGGGTTCATATCTTTCGCTTAGGGGAAGGCTAAACATTGGAGATAACGGTGAACATGGAGTATAAATTCCCATGAATGTTGAAAGTGGAGCATTTTAAACTCAAGGGGGACGTGTCTCTCTCTCTCTCTTTCTCTCTCTCTCGGTGTCTCTGTTCATCTCCCATGGCAGTTAGGGCCTTATTATCCATTGTGAAGACCTTAAAGACCTTGCTTATGCGGACAGGTGGCTTGGGAACCTGTCTGGTGTCTTACGTTCCCACCCCATTTTTCTGGGGGGCTGTTTTTGCCTCCAGAAAAGGGGGTCTACACAACTCTGTGTCTGGGAAACTGCCCCAGATGCCCATTACAGAATAACATACTTGCCCTCCTGGCAGGGACATCAGGAGCTAACCTGGTTTTTCAACTGGAGGACACCACGGGTGTCTGAGGTGTCTCAAAGCCTGTTTCTTGCTGTTTCATCTAGCTCTCCAAGCCCAGAGAGCATCTGTTTTGCTAGCATCTGGGCCTCTAGCAAGCAGGATTTCCAAAGGGAAGATGGATGACTAACTTCAGAAGGGCCCAGAGCCTCCTTCCTCCCATGCTGCTCAACAATAGGAACAATGTACCTGGCACAGATATCCACAGAGCCATGGTGGGGACCTCCTATTCTCTGGCTAGGAAGGTGATTAAGTACATCAGATGTTTTCACTCCTCACCCTCTTTTCCTTCTGCAGGGACCCTGAGCCAAGCAAAAGCTCTTTCTAGGAGGAGCAGACAATAGAAGTGCCCACACACCATGGCACGGGTGGACTCTCAGGACAGGCGGAGCAAGGTGTCTCTTGGCAGCATGATTCACGACACCCAGATGTTGAGCATGAACTTGGACTGTGAAGATGAGGATGGTAGGGAGGGTGGCTCCCTAGCAACTCAGAACAACACTGACTTGCCGTGTGACACTCAGTCCTGCAAAGAGGAAGAGAAATGGTCAGTGTCCTTCAGTGCTGCACACGTGAAGCAGAAACCTGGGGAGACACCTGGGAAGACCAACAATTACTGGGGAAAAAAGGAATCAAAGATCACCCAGACTCAAGACTCCGCCGGATTAGAGGGGGCTCTCGGGGTCCCTTCCAGAGGCTTACACAAGGCTGTGGCTCAAAGGCAGGCTCTTCGGGACTTTGTGGGCAGTGACGGGGGCAAGAAGACAAACAAGGACCCAGCCTCCGAAGTCCTGACCAGCTTCTTGGACGGTGGAGAGTTTTTTGCAGCACAGAACAGTGCGGAGGCATCCTCCCTAGACAAGAACTCTCTGGAGCATGCCCCCAGGTCGGAGAGCACCCCAGCTCAGACTTCAGCCACTTCGGCCAGCCCAGCGGCAGGGTTGGCAAAAGCACAGGGCAGTCGAAAAGCTCAGGGCCAGGCGGGCCTAGGAGTCAGCGGGCAGGAAGATCAGGGTCCCCACTGGCGAGTGCAGGGAAGGCGGGCCTTCCAGAAGGACAGCAAACTTCAGGGTACCGCTGAACACCACGGTGCCAAGCCCTACGTGTGCCAACTGTGTGGGAAGGCCTACTCCCATCGCAGCACGCTCCAGCAGCACCGGCGCCTGCACACAGGCGAACGGCCGTACCGATGCCCCTTCTGTGACAAGGCCTACACTTGGTCCTCGGATCACCGCAAGCACATCCGCACACACACCGGCGAGAAACCCTACGCATGCCCGGACTGCCAACGGGCCTTCGTGCGCTCCTCCGACCTGCGCAAGCACCAGCGCAACATGCACAGCAACGACAAGCCCTTCCCGTGCGCCCAGTGCGGTCTGACCTTCAACCGGCCGCTGTCGCTGCTGCGCCACCAGCGCACGCACCTGGGCGCCAAGCCCTTCCGCTGCTCCTCCTGCGGCCGGGAGTTCTCCGTGGCCAGCCGCATGGTGGAGCACCAGCGCGTGCACTCGGGCGAGCGGCCCTTCCCCTGCTCCACCTGCGGCAAGTGCTTCACCAAATCCTCCAACCTGCACGAGCACCAGACGCTGCACACCGGCCAGAGGCCCTTCAAGTGCGCCGACTGCGGCGTGGCCTTTGCTCAGCCGTCGCGCCTGCTGCGCCATCAGCGCGTCCACACAGGCGAGAGACCCTTTCGTTGCGCAGAGTGCGGCCGGGCCTTCGCCCGCTCCTCTACCCTGAAGCGGCACCAACAGATCCACTCCGGGGACAAGGACTTCCTCTGTGCGGAGTGCGGCAGGGCCTTCCGCATCGCGGCCGACTTGGCGCAGCACATCCGGATGCACAATGGGGAGAGGCCCTACCGGTGTGACGGCTGCGGCCAGGCCTTCACCCGCTCCAACCACCTCCGAAGGCACCAAGCCGAGCATGACAAATGCAAAAAGGAGCCTGTCTCTTCCTCTTGCGATGAGTGAGGGCACCTTTGGCTTGCTGGAAAGGAAAGCAAAGACACCCTCGACTTCACATCCTGTTTTACCCTCAAAGCAGTATTGCCAGCCAGGCTCAGTAGTCACGCCCTCCATTCCCTCCCTGGTTTCTGGCCCTGTACTTTGTGGATTTGATTGTGTTGTGACACAAAATAATCCCCAGGTGTGCAGTTTCGCACTGGTTGCCCGCAGCTCGGAGGCCATGAGCAATTAGAAAAGGGTAAGATAAAGAGTAGGGGCTGGCCAATAGTTGGGTTCCTTCCGTCAGGAGATTTCAGTCAATGAGCAGGTAGGTATAGAATTCTCTGTTTGCACTGCGCAGGATTCAGTGGGTACGCTCATGAAAAAAGGTCTATTTTATTCTTTCCTCAAAGCCATATCAAATATTGAGGATAGAATTCTATAGAGAATTCTATTCTATTTCTCTATAGAAATATAGAAAGATTCTTTTTGATTTCTATATAAAGGAATCCTCAGAAATGATCCCTGTGATGGACTTTTCCAGAGAACAAAGCCAACCTGGGGGTAACTCAAACAAGCCAGACATCCTAACGTGTCACCTGACTGCTAAAATGACTTCAACCTTGAGGGAATGTCTCTGTGGGTTGGCTTTGAAGTATAGACAGCAAGAAGGGGTGGGGGGGTTGTGCCATGTTTGGGAGGCAGTGATTCCAGAAGTTCAGACCAGCCTCAGCATCCAGAAAAGAAGATGTGGTAGCTGGACTTCCCCCCCCACCAGGTTCACGGGTGTCTCTGCTGCTGCTTTTCTGTATCACAGGATGGGAACTTAAGCCACTTTTGTCATTTGAAGAGAACATCGAATTCCTTCAGATAAGCCACAGTGTGGTTCGTTTAAATCTGCCTGGATCATTAGCTGTCATTTGAAGGAAATAAAGCACCCTTTGCCAGGGCATGGATGGGCTTACTTGTGTTTGGGTCAAAGTCATTAAAATCAGCCGTGAAAGGCTTTATGCCTCATCATTACCCTGTAATGAATTTATCCATAATCTGCCCTGCTAACCTTCAGTCTTCAAAGCACAGACACAGACACAAAGCGAGTCTCATAAGATCTGTGCTTTGTCGCTTTGGACCTTGACTTTGAGGAATGTGTGGCTTCACAGAACATTTGATGCTGACAGACAAATGGAGCTTGTAATCTTTCCAAAGTGTGTCATATAGAAATTTATTTTTGTTAAAACTTTTCTCCCCCTCTCCTGTGTATGGTATAGGGTATGTGTGTGTGTGTGTGTGTGTGTGTGTGTGTGTGTGTGTGTGTGTGTATGCATACACGTTTATTGGTCTAGATATCCCGGGCTGCATTCATTATTTATTCAACACGAGCCTTTCAGTGAATGTAAGAGAAGACTGTTTGGGTCAATTTTTCTTAAAAATTTGCCTCACTTATGCAGCACCCTCTGTATGCACACGCAGAAGATGAAGCAAGGCACAGATAGTCTCTCTCTGTCACTCTGCACCTGATCTTTTGAGCCAGCGTCTGTCACTGAAACTGGAGTTCACCATCCCATCTAGGCTGGCTCTCCATCAGGCATCCAGGATCTGCTTGTTTCTGTCTTACCTGAGTTTGGGTTTACCCATATGTGCTGCCACACTTGGCTTTTACGTGGGCGCTGTAAATCTAAATTGTGATCCTCATGCTTGCGTTACAAACACTTTACCTACTGAGCTGTCCCTCCAAACCCCATATATTAAACTCTGTCAGATTTCACCTGACTTGGACCCCGGGTGTGACTGCTACATAGCATTCTCAGGATACATGGGGTCAAAGAAAAGCAACACACACAGCCACGCTCTGTTTGACACAAGCAAACAGAGCTTTACTTGATAAACTACAGGCTTGAGGATGTGTGTGCTAACTCTCTTAGATACAACTCTTTTCTAGACGATAAAGTTAGTTTGAGGCCACCCTTATCATTCACTAGTCAAGTACCTTGAAGCTTAATTTCTGCAGTTGAGTGGTGGAACAGGAGTGATGGTAATAGATAATACTGAGTGGAGTCATTGTAACAGCTGACAAGAACTGTGGTTGACTGCAAGGGCATTAAACAGGCAGAGAAAGCGTAAGAATTAATTTTTGACTACAAATAGAATAAAGACCAGTATGGAATCAGCGAAATACTTGAAGATTGATTATTCCTCTGTATTTTTGATGGTTGCTAGTGTAATTTTTACTAGTTAAAATTTTTGGTTTGGCTCTATACCATAGTTTTTAACTCAAGGATAATTCATATAACATCTTCATAAAAGTCAGATTGTTTATTAACCATTCAACTTGCTGAACTCTAGCTTTGAGGATGAAGATAGGATTGCAGTACATTACCTGGGTACCACTTTCAAGTCTGCACGCCTCTAAGGAAAAGGAAAACAGTATCAGCATGTGCTTGATGTCTTTAGTATAGAATACGGTGTTTCTGAAATATAAGGGACTAGAATAAACAGGCTAAAAAAAGAAATTTATGAACTGTCCAGACCTGTTACATAAGCAAGTCACAGTTTAGGATAATTTGTCCCAAGCAGTCTTCTCTTCCACCCACTGAAAGGCTCATGTTACATAGGCAATGAATGTGACCCGGAGTATCCAGAGCAGTTAAGCATGTCCAAGCAGACTGTAAGAACGATACAGGGTGCAGACACCAGAGAAGGGAGAGAAGCCAACCAGTTAGGAGGAAGCTTGGCACAAATTCTGCTGACTGGAGCCTGACATTCCACGTGGACTAAATAGAAGTACTTTTGGGGAATAATCAAGGCTTGAAGACAAGTTATTCTAGCTCACGTTGTTGCCCCAAAGTCAGTTTCCTGGTTTTCTATAAGCATCACATCTATAAGCATCACAGTAGACAATCTCATCTTATTTTATAATTCAGAGTCAGGGCTGGGGCTTCTTCATTACTTAAAGCTTTACCCAGTTAAAAAAAAATGCTTATATGTTTTCACTTAGTAAAAGTTCACCTGATATAGTCACCAGAATCTACAGTAATCGTGACCTGCATAATATAAAGACTAGACAAGGCTTTACCCGGTATCCTCCGAAATAGTCTGACATAGTAATAGATATATAGAGATGATCTCCTTGCTTAGAAGAAACTATCACCGTTGTTATGGTGGACAACAGTAGGTTGTAGAAACAAGTGGGGACACGAGGAGCATGAGTTTGAGCCCAGCTTGGCCTACTCTTCTGGGGGGTGGGGCGGCAGTGCTGGAGAGATGACTTGGTGGTTAAGGATGTTTATTGCTCTTCCAGAGGACTGAAGTTTAGTTCACAGCACTGGTAGCAAACAGTTCACATCTTTCTGCAGCTCCAGCTCCAGAAGATCTGATGCTTTCTTCTAGCTTCCATGGCCATGCACAAAAAAATGATACACGTTCACACAGACACAGACAAACAAAATGAGGAAAATGAATATTTTTTTAAAAATCTAAATTTTAAAATCAAATGATGGTGTGTATTGACCCTATTTTTTTTTAAGATAAGATAAGATAAGGAGTGAAGAGGTTAAATTGTCCAAGGGTAGTGACTAGAAAGTGGCTGGCAAAGCTGCCTCTGTTTGGTGTGGAAGAATATTCCACAATTGCTGATGCCATTTATGTAGAAGAGTTAGGCAGTCACACTTGCAAAATAAAATAAAAGTTGGAACAGTGTGCAGGAAATCGTGGCTTCATTCATGGAAGACCAAAAATGATCTGAAAACGAGTGTGGGACAGCTTGGTTTGGCAGATGTTCATCATTAGTTCCTGGGTAAAACTATTAATAAAATGGCCAGAAGGAATGCAGTGGAGCCAAAGAAGGGATGGTTCCTTGAAAGCCCACTAGTAGTTTCTTGGCCAAAGAAACATTCTGTGCCTGTGTAATACACAAAGATATACACCAGGAATGAATCAGCTCTTGGTACTTACACACGTTTTTTTTTTGTTGTTGTTGTTGTTGTTTTTTATATCGTGATATATATTTATTATATTGTATATATGTGAATAAAATACAATACTTTTTTTAGAGTTTTTTTCTTTTTTTATTATTAATTACACTTTATTCATTTTGTATCCCCCCATAAGCCCCTCCCTCCTCCCCTCCCGATCCCACCCTCCCTCCCCTTTCTGCATGCATGCCACTCCCCAAGTCCACTGATAGGGGAGGTTCTCCTCTTCTTTCTGATCTTAGTCTATCAGTTCTCATCAAAAGTGGCTGCATTGTCCTCTACTGTGGCCTGGTAAGGCTGCTCCCCCCTCAGGGGGAGGTGATCAAAGAGCAAGCCAATCAGATTATGTCAGAGGCAGTCCCTCTTCCCATTACTATGTAACCCACTTGGACACTGAACTGCCATGGGCTACACCTGTGCAGGGGTTCCAGGTCATCTCCACAAATAGTCCTTGGTTGGAGTATGATTTTATGGGAAGTTCCCTGTGTTCAAATTATCTTGTTCTGTTGCTCTCCTTGTGGAGTTCCCGTCCCCTCCAACTCTTACTATTTCCCACTTCTTACATAAAATTCCATTCACTCTGCCCATCAGTTGGCCATCAGGCTCAGCATCTGCTTTGACAGTCTATACTGCAGAAGCTTTCAGAGGCCCTCTGTGGCAGGTTTCAAGGTTGTTTCCTGTTTTCTTCTGGCTTTCAGAGGCCCTCTGTAGCAGGTTCCGAGGTTGTTTCCTATTTTCTTTTTCTTCTGATGTCCATCCTCTTTGCCTTTCAGGATGGGGATTGAACATTTTAGTTAGGGTCCTCTCTTGTGCTTAGTTTGTTTAGATGTACAGATTTTAGTGGGTTTAGTCTATGTTGTATGTTTATATGAGTGAGCATATACCATGCGTGTCTTTTTGCTTCTGGGACAACTCACTCAGGATGATCCTTTCTAGGTCCCACCATTTACCTGCAAATTTCATGATTTCCTTATTTTTCATTGCTGAGTAATACTCCATTGTATAGATGTACCACAGTTTCTGCATCCATTCTTCAGTTGAGGGGCATCTGGGTTG